GCAAGCTGTTTTCTGCAGAGGCCCTGTTTATCTGTGTCAGGTGTGTGAAGATCAGGCTCGCAGGAGATAAAAATGTTCTGCAAAGCCCCACCTTTCAGGGTGTGCCCCAAGTTAGGCCAGGGCATAAAATCAGCCATCTGCCCCAGGTCCTGGCTCAAGCTTCACTGCTGAGCTAGGGGGAAAAAATGTGGGCACTGGAATCAGTGCCAGGAAGCACAGAAGTTGAAATTGGACATGGTGGCACATGCCTGTAATCCCAGCACTGTTGGGAGGTGGAAGCAGGAGGATTAGGAGTTTAAAGTCATCTTTGGTTTCATGATGACTTCAACTAGCAGGGGCTACATGAGACCCCAGTACCCCCAAACAAACTAACCAACAGGTGGAGGATTGCAGAAGTACTGTCCTCTGAGAAGTCCACAGCTCCTAGACTGTAGCAGTTGCCTCTGTCTAGTTCACTTTCTGTTGCTGAAACAAAACTCTAACCAAAACCTATTTGGGGATAAAAGAGTTTCTTTGGCTTTCGGGGTACAGTCAGTCGTTGAGGGAAGCGAAAGCAGGAACTGGAGGCAGATGCTTAAGCAGAGAGAACAGAAGAATAGAACCCTGGCTAATTCAGTTTGCTTTCTCATATAACTCAGAACCACCTGTCCAGGGGGGCACAGCCCATAGAGGCTGAGCCCTCCTCCTCCTTGGTCATTAGGATATGAAAAAGAGGTTTTCTCTTCCCATGTGACTCCAATTTGTGTCAAATTGATAAAATACTAACCAACACCTCGTCCAACCTTGATAAAATCTTAGTCATACTGTTTATGATGCTCTTCAAATTTTTTCAGAAGGTGTTTTTATTTTATGTGTATGAGTGTTTTTCCTGCATGTATGTCTGTGCATCAAGTGTATGCCCAGGGGGCACTGGATCCTCTAGGACTGAAGCTGTAGATGGCTCCGAGCTGCAGTGTAGGTGCTAGGAACTGAACCCAAGCCTAAGCCCTTCAGAAGAACAGCCAGTGTTCTTAACCGCTGAGCCATTTCTGAAGCCTGTGATAACTCTTTCATAAAGGCTATGGGTTCTTCCCTGGTCCAAGGCCTTTGTATATACTGTTCCCTCTGCCCTGGTAGACCATCCCAGATACTCTTAGTCTGATGACTTTTCTTTTTTTCCTTTTTCTCCTTGTTGTTGTGATCTAACGCAGTGTCCCGTGTGTGGGAGACAGGTGCTCAGCTGTCAATTCTTCTAACAGGCCTTCCTTAAACTCCCAGTCTAAGCTAGGTCTCCCCATCATAGAGCCCCACATTTTCCTTTGATCCCTTTATTATCTAACTCTAAGTTCATTTACAAGATCATTCTTTTATTGCAAATGTACAGCCCTTTGGGGCCATTAAATTACAAATTCCAGAAATCCCAATGTATTTGTTCACAACTGTTCGCACAGTACCTGGCGTAAATGACTTTTAATGGCTCACTAAATGAATGGCTACTAGAAACGGGCTTATGTACAGAGCTATAGGACCAGGCTCTTAGATCTTTTAATTGTGTCTTTCTTGCTTTCTCTTGTAATTGTTTTTTCTTTATCTTTCTGTTCTTTTTTGTTGTCATTGTTATTGTTTGCTTGTGTTTTGAGTCAAGGGCTCTTTTTTTCCCTTTTTGTATCTTTCTGTTCTTTTTTGTTGTTATTGTTGTTTTGTTTGCTTGTGTTTTGAGTCAAGGGCTCTTTTTTTCCCTTTTTGTATCTTTCTGCTTTTTTTTGAGACAGGATTTTACACTGTAATGCAGGCTGGCCTAGGAATTCACTATGGAACACAGATCAGCCATGAGTTTCCTTCAGCCCTCTTGGATCAGCTTCCCAAGTGCTGAAATTACAAGCGTAAGCCAGTACCCTTGGAGAATTTTAAGGACTTTCCCCCTCCATTTGGATTGCTTTTAACAAGTTAGTGAGCTCGCAAAGATGACGGGGCTCATTTGAACACTGCTATTCTCAATTTTTAAAAGTAGTTTCTCTGTGCTGGAAAGATAACTCAGTGGTTAAGCGCACTGGCTGCCTTTCCAGAGAACCCAGTTTCAATTTCCAGCAACCACATGGCAGCTCACAACTGTCTGTAACTGCAGTTCCAGAGGATCTGACATCCTCACAAAGACAAAACATGATCAGACATTTTTTTTCTTTTTTGGTTTTTCAAGACAGGGTTTTTATGTAGTTTTGGAGCCTGTCCTGGAACTAGCTCTTGTAGTGCAGGCTGGCCTCGAACTCACAGAGATCTGCCTGCCTCTGCCTCCCAAGTGCTGGGATTAAAGGCATGCGCCGGCACTGACTGGCTTTTAGACATTTTTTTAAAAATGAAATAAAGTAGTTTCTCAAGCTCAGCATTACTTACTAGTTGGACTGGTAATTCGTTCATGTTGGAGAGTGTCCTGTTTATTATAGGATGCTCACCAGCAACTTGGCTTCACCTAACCCAACCCACCATATATCAATGGTGTCCACTTTAAAAAATGCCAGTAGATACTACCCCAAGCCTGCAAAGTCTCTCCTGATCAAATGTCTTAAAATGCGAAGTACCAGGCCTTTATCACTTTTAGAAGAATTGTACTTAGAAATTAAATTGCAGAACTATGCCTGGGTTACAGGAATCCTACCGCCACAACTGGATCAAAATCGGGCCCGTTTCTGGCTTGTTTTGAAAAGGTCATTAGTGATGGTGGGATGAAAGGCAATGTTGTGATCTTAGAAATTTAGCTCGCTGGATTGCCCTAGAAGGATGAAGGAAAGGGGGTGGCGTTTCTGAGGAAACCAAGGCCTCGGAGACCCCTCGGGAATTGGCAGTTCCCTACAAATGTTGTATGTGCATGTCCCACAGGACTGTAAAAGGAAGACAAACAGCCCATTCTGGCGTGCTTTTCAGGGTCTCTCACTCCAAACAAGAAAGTCTGAGAGGCCTGGTAAAAATAAATACGGCTAACTCCCTCTGGCATAAGAATAGTTTCTGACAGCTAAGACTTAACTCACTCTAGGGGGTGACCCAGGCAGGAACTGCATGAAGTCAGTTTTTACCCATTGATAGTCCCAGTGACTCACAGCGGCCAAGAATGTTGCTGTGCTGAAGCATGCTGCAGGACTTGGGATGCTCGTTGAAAATGCAGTCTCTCTCAGTGAGTGAGACAGCCAGTCCCCCACTTCATCGCCAGTCCCAGAAAAGCAACACAAATCTTTCCTCTGGAAAGGGACCTGTCCTTTGCATCAGAGTGGAAACTGTTTATAAGTTCTTAATCTCCTGACATTAAAAGTATGGGGAACGTCTGTTCTGGATTCGTTTGGGACAAATGTATTCTTTATACCACATGTCGCTAGTTGCCATTTGGAACAAAGTATCATCTCCAAAATCACAAGGTCTTTCTCATCGTGTTTGAACAGCGAGTCTTCCTAAGCAGCGTGTTTTGAAATCCTGAGACAACCAAGAACGTAGGACGGTAAGGGCAGGCTGGGGAATGGCCTCACCCTTCACTTTTCTCTCCTTTCACTTTGGGCGAAGTGACCTGTGACAGCAAGCCCGACAGACCCACCGTCTTTCCCACGGAATCCTTATCTGATTCTACTGCCATCTTCAGTCTCCAAGAAGAATTACACAGCCAAAATTATCTAGACATTAGTTACCATGGTGATGCTAAATTCAACTAAATTGCATCTAGGCAAAAATTTCAGGGGTGGGCGGTGTGAGCACAGCATAAAGTACGGACTAAGAAAGAGTTAATATCACATTTTTCTGTTATTGTAGCTTTCACTAAGTATGCTTAATGTTAGCTTTGGTCAAAGACAGCAATTTAAAGTGAAAGCCTTGGAAAATGGAAAACAAGCAAGAATGAAATGTCAACCTATTCATTTGGAGAAAATGCCTAATATTCACTTTGCACTATACCAAATTACTTCCCTCTCAGCTAAATCCAGGCTAAGATGATTGAAAATCAGATGATGCTGGTTTATCTATCAATTTGGAGAGAAAGTGATATCTCAGGCCCTAACAAAGTTGGAGGTGTAGGCATAAAGCAACAAAACAACTTGGGAACATGAGAGGCGGCAAAACTAACTACTGGTATACATGGGGGAGAGGGATAGGCCACAGTGATAACATCGGGAATAGTTTACAAATTTATTTAGTAATCCAAACGTTTCATATTGCTGGAAGGCCCTCCAGACGGAAGCTGGAGGAAGGCAGAGGTCTTGCGGGGGTGCAACTCCTAGCACGGATTTATTTCCTCACCCCACCCCACCCCCTTCCTGGCCAGGATCAGAGAGTCAGAGATGAAGAGGCTAACAACTGCTGATTTACAGACAGTGAGGAGGAACTGAGTGTGTCTGGGCCAAATCTGGACGTCTGAACTGGGCGACAGGACCCAGACAACCTCACCTCAGGAAACGAGTAAATGAAAGGGGGAGGTCGCCTAGTTATTTAGCCCTAGAACAACATTGCCTAGAACGGGGGAGGGGCTGGAGTGCAAGAAGAAAAACTTCAGAAAAGGAATTCTGACAGTGAGAACGCTAGTTAAGACGTAGCAGGGCAGGGCCCCTGATGCCTCTTGCTTTATATCAATAAAGGTCGAGAGAATTAAGCACTCAGAAGCCTTGCATATTTTGAGACATTACAATAAAGTCTGGATTTGGGCTGGTAGGGGGCCGGGGTCAAGCCCAGGCGACTTGGTTCAGCAGGGGTGCTCCTCCCTGGTGTAGAACTAGAATGAACCCGGGCAGAGAGTTGCCACTAGGATAATTTTCTTTTTAAGCTGGGGACATTTGAGTAGCAGTAATGGGGACAGATAAGGGGCCCTCTCCGGAAGGCTAGGAATGTTGGGGCGGCTTGAGTAGGAGCCAGGGCTAGTAAAGGAGGCACTAGCGGGTGGGATCCGGGAACCGGGGGGCGAGGGCAGAGGGCGGGAAGGGGCAGGGCCTGAGTCGGGGGCGGGACCAGGCGCGGCGGTGGTGGCGGGGGCAGAGGCGCGGGGGGCGGGGCGGTCGGGCTCGGGACACCCCCTCCGGGTCCCCTGGCGGGGCGGCTTCGGCTTCGGCTTCGGCAGCACTGGAGAAGGCAGCGGCCGGGAGGGCGACTTGTAGGGCGAGTCGGCCGCGCTGGACCCGGGACATTTTCCACCCCGGGGGGGACCCTCAGCTGATTCTCTCAGCCCCGGCTTCCCGTTGGAGCCCGCGGGACCCCCGGGCCGGCAGGGAGCTCCGGCGGCGGCCGCAGCACCATGAGGCGGTGGTGGGGCGCGCTGCTGCTAGGCGCCCTGCTCTGCGCACACGGTAAGCTGCGTCGCAGCGCCCGCGCCGACCGGGCCACCGGGAAAGCTTGTCCCTGAGTCTGGCCCTGCAGGACTCGCCTCCCGGGAGCGGAACGGCGCAGGCTGGGGCCTGAGATCCCAACCTCGAGCTCACTTCAAGCAGTTACCCTGGCAGAGCACGCGGAGGAAAGCAAGCTTGAGGAGCTCCGGCAGCTCTTCAAGCACGAGAGGGGACAGTGGTGGAGGGACTCGTCCCCGCTGTGGTCTGGGCCGAGTGGCATATGATCCGAGACGCTCGCTCGGCTTCCTTCGTTGCTCTTTAAAGAGCTAGGTGTTGGTTCCCTTTCAGATTAAGGCAGGGTTTCCGTGTCCCTGGTGCGTGCGAATGAATGTGTGCAAAGAAAGGGAGGCGGGGAGGATGGTCGCTAAACCCATAAATTGTAAATAGTCCTCCTTCCAGGGTCTGTGGGATCCCGGGTGGATTGCAGAGAGGGGCCCAACAGAATCTGAGTTATTTGAGCATCCAGGATTCATGGACTTGAGGATCGGTTCCTCGGACTCCATACCAGGTTATCTCCTAGGGTCTTTGCAGCATCTCCCCTAAGTGGAGTTTTGGGTTCCCTCTCCTAGCTGCGGCCAATCAGCTTCCTGCCCCGGATCCTTCCCAAGGGAGGGGTGGGGAACAGCAATGGAAAAGAGGTTGGGGAGGAAATTAAGGGAAGAAACTACTGGAGGGCTCCGGCAGATCCGTCCTGGCCTGGGTAGAGGGCGGGGTGGGGGGCGCGTTCTTAGGGAACTTCCATAGGCAGCTTCCTGGTCCATGCAATGGGGCCTTGGCCTCGGGGGAGTTGGGCGAATGGCAGCGGCACTGCTGCTTCATCTGCTCTTTATTAATAACGTGTTCGGTGCCCGGACGCAACTGTTGTGTCTACTTAGGACTCCAGTGGAATCTGCCTCTCTGCAGCCGCTTGGGAACATAGGGTGCACCCTGTGATTTAGCAGCTGCCTCTGAGTTTGTGCCCAAAGAGCAAAGATCGATCTTGGAACTCCAACCATATTCACCCGCCGTCTTTTCCACGTGGGGGAGATCCAGTTCTTTCGATTCTCTCGGCTGCTGGACGAGGGGGTGGGGTTCAGTAAGAGCGGTCTGCAGACCCTGGCGGTGCTCGGGTTCTTTCTTTCACTTGGAGGAGCTCGTGTGGAAAGTGCAGATTTCGGAACTTGCCTGGTAGGGTGTGGAGCTGTCTGGGCACTTGTTTTAAAGGTTGTTTTAGCTCCCGAATCCAAAACAGAGTTTTGGTGTCTGTTATTTAAACTACGCGTGGGTTTTCAATGGCTTTTTTCCATGTGGTGTCTAGCGCCGACGGAGTCTTTTCTCTGAGGAGTGGTAGCCTGGCCGACCCACGTTCCTCTTCACGGCTCGCTCTCCCCCTCCCGGACTCTCTCCTCGAAGGTTATTTGTAGCCTCTTCGGCGTGTTGGGACAGCAGCCCTACTGGGGTAGGAATGTAACTGTTCTTCCCACCACATGGGCCCCTTAAAGGGACAGCTATGCTTTTGGGGGGTTTCCCCCTTTGGGCTGCAAGGGAAGGGGATGGAACTTTCCTCCCGGCCCCCTGGAGGAAGTTTTGAAAAAGATCAAGGGGAAATAGCTAGGCACTAGGAAAAGGGGGGTAGCGTGGGGGCTAAAACGGATACCAACAAAGCCAAAGAGGAGATTGTCGCCTTCTGCCCCAGGGAAGGGGGAGCTGGGAGGTTCCGGACTGAGTCTGGCCAAGAGGAATCCACTGCTGTCACAGCTGCGAACTTTACATCTGCCTGGAGGATGGGGGGTGAGAACGGGGCAGAGAATTGGAGACTCTTAAGCTTTACAGAAAAAGCATTAGAGGGTTCTTGGTGGCTTGTTTAGGTTCATTTTTAAATGAAAAAGTTTAATAGAAACTTCTAAGTTGGAGACTTCCTGTGCACACGGAGTAGGCAGAGGTAGAAAAAAAATGGCACTTTTCAGGGCCTAACACTGAGCAGGACTTGGAGACCCATAGAAAACAGATTCGGAATTCTGCAACCGTCACCCCACCCCCACCCCTAAATCCCACTAGGATCCCTAGCAATAAGTCCAGGCCCGCTAAAGAGGTGCTTCTGAAAAGCTTTGCTTACGTAGACAACCTCAGCTAGAAGTGAATTCAACACCAGACCGAAATGCTTATTTATATTCTAATAGTCCTTGGGGGTGGGGGGTTTCTAGAGCCTCTCTGTTTGGTATTGGCATAGATCACGATCCACAATCCATTCTTCAAAATTTAGAAGGATGTGGCTGGAGAGATGGCTCAGTGGTTAAGAGCACTGGCCGTTCTTCTGGAGGAGCTGGGTTTCATCCCCACCACCTACTTGGCAGCTCACAACTGTTCTGTAACTTCAGTTCCAGGGAATCTGACACCCTCTTCTGGCCTCTTTGAGTACTTCACACATGTGGTGCACAGACATATATGCAAGGCAAAACCCTACTCACACACATAAAAATAAAAAGGAGGAAAACTTAGGCATGGTGGCTTATCTCTAATGCTAGCAACTGGGAGACCGAGGCAAGAGGATTGAAGCAAGGGTGAGGCCAGTCTGGGCTACATAGTTTGAGGTCATCCCAGACTAAGGAACAAGACCCTTTTCTCATAGTACAAAAAGCCTACACGTGGTAGGTAGATGCAAGAGAATTAGCAGTTCAAGGTCATCCTCAGCCACCTTCTTGAGACTCTGTCTCAAAAACTAAAGCTAACAACAGCAAATGCTCTTGTTTTTTTTTTGTTTGTTTGTTTTTGTTTTTGTTTTTTTTGTTTTTTGTTTTCTCGAGACAGGGTTTCTCTGTGGTTTTGGAGCCTGTCCTGGAACTAGCTCTGTAGACCAGGCTGGTCTCGAACTCACAGAGCTCCGCCTGCCTCTGCCTCCCGAGTGCTGGGATTAAAGGCGTGCGCCACCATCGCCCAGCATGCTCTTGTTTTTAAATTTTAAGATTTTTGGAAGGAAACTAAAATGGCTAGTAATAGCCACGGGTATTTTTATACTGTGAATTATGACTGGAGTGTGCAAACCACCTTGGAAGTCTTTTCTTGGTAAGTGAGCCCTGGCAGTTCTGCCCAGGAATGCTTAGGTAGATTTCAAAAAAAGTTTCTGAGGATGAGTTCTGAATAATCTAGCTCGAGACTGTCTTGTTTCCATGTGGTTGTTGTCATGACCATGGTTGTCATGGCACTTGAGTGACCTTGCCCTTGATCTCTTAGACTTGTGCAAGATGCTTGGCTTGTCACTGATTCTGGATTTCCTCTTCTGTCCCCTGTTGAATATCAGATGGCATCTTTGCAACTGGCACCTGGTATTAAGAACAACAGGTGCAAGGGAGCTAAGTCAGGCCGTGTCTGACAGAAGCACGCTGTGCACGCACATCCTCTGGACCAGCAGAGAACACAGGAGGTCACAGAGGACAGGATGCTCTGCCGCTCTTTACATAAGCTCTCTACAGACTAACTGCTAGTCTTGGCCCCTAGGGTGAAAGATGATGGGATGCTGCTGCTTTTTAAAGAGATAACCAATATGGGGCCGGGGGTGATCTTGAATGAGAACAGAATAATTTCAGAGACTAAAAATGTATCTTGTCTTATTACTGGACATACCTCAAATTTATAGGCAAGTTCTGTGTCTTTGGTCAGCTGGGTCTGTTAGCCTGTTGCTAGCCACCATCTCTACATCCTTTGTATAGTGTAGCCATGTTTTGTCACAGATGCCTGGACATGGGACATGTGAGTTCCAGGCTGTATCCTGGTGGCCATCTTCTCTCCAACAGTGAGTGTCTTTCTCTCCTTAGCCTGATGAGAGTCAGTATCCCGAGAAAGACTCGGTGCTGAGGTTTAGTTGGTGGAATCTGAGTGTGGCTCTAAAAATAGCACTGACGACTACCTACACTTGTTGCCCTCCTGAAGCCCAGAGCTCGTGTGGTCAGGCTCACTCTCAGTGCACTCAGGAGCTGGGCAGTTGAGCATTCCACATAGGTATCTGGTCATCCATTCAGTGAACTTGCGCGTCCGAGTCTGATCGCAACATACCTCACTCAGCATTTGAGAAAGCTCAGGCAGGCAGGTTTGACACCTGGCTTTGATACTTTTTGGTGAATCTATGCAAAAACACTGGCTCTTCTTGAACTTTGGGGCTCTTATCTGCAAATAAAGTTAGAGTGGGAGACAGTAGTAGTAATATCTTTTCACCCGTGAAAATTTCATGCTGTAAAAATTAAGAGATGATAGAATGTTCCAATTATCCAGCCCGGAGCCTGACAACTGCTATGCAGCTATAGGCCTAGATAAATGTCAACTGTTTGTTAGTAAGATTACTTACATGGATCAGAGATGGCTCTGGGATTTAGACTGTGGGAGCCAGATAAGTTACATTGCAGTGTCTCATATGATAAAGGAGACTTGGTCCTTCATTCATTTCGGTTGGTTTCCCCCAACCGCCCTCTTCTTTTTTTCTCTATGAAATGACTTGTTCTTTCATTTTCCTTCTTGAAAATCTAGTGAAACCAAAGCATCATTCCCTCCTTCCTCACTTCCAGAAAAGAGCTTTATTACCGGGTTCCTGCTCTTGAGAGAGAGGAACTCCTTCGGGAACATCCCAATTGAGGGGTCAGAAGTAAGCCTTACAACTTCTCACCCTAAGATTGCTGTGACCCAGGGTGAGAGGGGTTGCCAGAGATCTCTTGTAGTTGGTACAGTTTGGAATTCCAACCTGTCCCTCGCACTGGCCTGTGGGAGGAGTCAGGCCCCAGTTTGGGGGCTGGGCTGTTGGGAGCATGCTTTCTTCCCGGCCAGTCTTCAATCAGGAGTCCTGGCAGTGTGTGAGAAACTGATGTGTGTCTACAGCCCCAGACTCACCCCCAACCCTCAGCTTCTCCACCACAAAGTTTGATCCCTGTTGTCTCTTTGTTTCTTCCTTTTAAGTTGGTGCTGGGGTTGTGATGTTTCTGGGACTGCAGAAAGTT